AGGCACTGGCGCGCATCATGAGCATCAGCTGTGCGTGTTTTCGAGGGACGGGCAACCCATAGTGCGCATCATGAGCATCAGCAGGGCATATGGTCCGGCACTGGCGCGCATCATGAGCATCACTTTGTGTTCGGGCCAGCTGGGCATATGGCCCGGCACTGGCGCGCATCAGGAGCATCAGCTGGGCGTGTCCTTGAGGGGTGGGCAAGCCTTGCGCGCATCACAAGCATCACTTTGTGTCCGGGCCGGCACTGGCGCGCATCATGAGCATCAGCTGTGCTATTTTCGAGGAACGGGCAACCCATAGAGCGCATCAGCTGGGCATCTGGCCCGGCACTGGCGCGCTCATGAGCATCAGCTGGGCGTGTCCTTGAGTGGTGGGCAAGCCCTTGCGCGCATCACGAGCATCACTTTGTGTCCGGGCCGGCACTGGCGCGCATCATGAGCATCAGCTGTGCGTATTTTCGAGGGACGGGCAAGCCATAGCGCGCATCATGAGCATCAGCTGGGCATATGGCCCGGTACTCGCGCTCGTGAGCATCAGCTGGGCGTGTCCTTGAGGGGTGGGCAAGCCCTTGCGCGCATCACGAGCATCACTTTGTGTCCGGGCCGGCACTGGCGCGCATCATGAGCATCAGCTGTGCGTATTTTCGAGGGACGGGCAACCCATAGCGCGCATCATGAGCATCAGCTGGGCATATGGCCCGGCACTGGCGCGCATCATGAGCATCAGCTGGGCGTGTCCTTGAGGGGTGGGCAATCCATTGCGCGCATCATGAGTATCAGCTGGGCGTTCGGGCCGCACTGGCGCGCATCATGAGCATCAGCTGGGCGTACGGGCAAGCCGTAGTGCGCATCATGAGCATCAGCTGGGCATAGGGGCCGGCACTGGGGGACATACTGGGCATCAGCTGGGCGTGTCCTTGAGGGGTGGGCAAGCGCTTGCGCGCATCATGAGCATCAGTTGGTGTTCGGGCCGGCACTGGCGCGCATCATGAGCATCAGCTGGGTGTATTGCCGAGGGACGGGCAAGCCATAGCGCGCATCATGAGCATCAGCTGGGCATAGGGCCCGGCACTGGCGCGCATCATGAGCATCAGCTGGGTGTGTCTTTGAGGGGTGGGCAAGCCCATGCGCGCATCGTGAGCATCACTTGGTGTTCGGGCCGGCACTGGCGCGCATCATGAGCATCAGCTGGGCGTGTTTTCGAGGGACGGGCAAGCCATAGCGCGCATCATGAGCATCAACTGGGCATAGGGGCCGGCACTGGCGCACATTATGAGCATCAACTGGGGTGTCCTTGAGGGGTGGGCAAGCCCTTGCGCGCACCATGAGCATCGCATGGTGTTCGGGCCGGCACTGGCGCGCATCATGAGCATCAGCTGTGCGTATTTTCGAGGGACGGGCAACCCACAGCGCGCATCATGAGCATCAGCTGGGCATCTGGCCCGGCACTGGCGCGCATCATGAGCATCACTTTGTGTCCGGGCCAGCTGGGCATATCGCCCGGCACTGGCGCGCATCATGAGCATCAGCGGGGCGTGTTCTTGAGGGGTGGGCAAGCCCTTGCGCGCATCATGAGCATCACTTGGTGTTCGGGCCGGCCCTGGCGCGCATCATGAGCGTATTTTCGAGGGACGGGCAAGCCACAGCGCGCATCATGAGCATCAACTGGGCATAGGGGCCGGCACTGGCGCGCATTATGAGCATTAGCTGGGCGTGTCCTTGAGGGGTGGGCAAGCCCTTGCGCGCATCATGAGCATCACTTGGTGTTCGGGCCGGCCCTGGCGCGCATCATGAGCGTATTTTCGAGGGACGGGCAAGCCACAGCGCGCATCATGAGCATCAACTGGGCATAGGGGCCGGCACTGGCGCGCATTATGAGCATTAGCTGGGCGTGTCCTTGAGGGGTGGGCAAGCCCTTGCGCGCATCATGAGCATCACTTGGTGTTCGGGCCGGCCCTGGCGCGCATCATGAGCGTATTTTCGAGGGACGGGCAAGCCACAGCGCGCATCATGAGCATCAACTGGGCATAGGGGCCGGCACTGGCGCGCATTATGAGCATTAGCTGGGCGTGTCCTTGAGGGGTGGGCAAGCCCTTGCGCGCATCATGAGCATCACTTGGTGTTCGGGCCGGCCCTGGCGCGCATCATGAGCGTATTTTCGAGGGACGGGCAAGCCATAGCGCACATCATCAGCATCAACTGGGCATGGGGGCCGGCACTGGCGCGCATCATGAGCATCAGCTGGGACGGGCAAGCCATTGCGCGCATCATGAGCATCAACTGGGCAGCTGGACGTGTCCTCGAGGGACGGGCAAGCCGTAGAGCGGATCAGGATCCATTCCCCATCTGAAACAGCGATGAACACCTGCCGCTGAGGGAGGTGAAGACAACCCGTACCGCATACCCCGACCCCACGCGCAGGGGGGATCCTGGACTATAGGGAGCGTGAAACCACGCATGGGATGTCAGCCTTTTCGGGCGCGGGCTGCGTTGCGACCCCACGCTCTTTTTGTTGAACCGTATGCTTGCCCCCGCTCTGTTTTAATAAGCGGTTCAGGGGTCAGGTGCAAGGGTTTAGTTTAGGGTTTATAGACCCCCCGCACTCTATGTTGTCTTAAGCTGTAAATTATGTGCCTGCATCATTCATTTTGTTTGCAAGGGGGGGTCTGCGCCCCTGCAACCCCCCTTTTGCAACACAAGGCTTCCCATGAACATGTACAAGAAACTAGAAGTTTTCTATTAAAATCCAAAGAAACTACCCCCGACCGACAAAGCAAGCGAAAAGCACAAAAACAATACGAAAACAACACTTAGACCCCTCCATGCAAAGCACCGCGGCACATGAATGAGGCCTGACCCCAGGCAATACGGTGAAAATCCTGAAGCCCCTGAGTCCCACGACTTCAACGAAGTCACAGACCTCATACCTTGCAAAAGTCACTAGCTGAGAAGACCCTACTGCCCAATGGTTTCAGCATAACAGCAGCCACACACACCCACAAGGCTTCAAGACCGCAAGCCTCAAAAACCCACCAGGCCATCGTGGGTCCGCTGCCCGATGCTGCGCTGGCTCAAGATCCACCAGGTCGGCTTAGGGATTAGAGTTTTGTGTTTGGGGTTCAGGGTTCCGGCTTAGAGCTTCAGCTGTTCTTGAAGGAGAAGATTCGCAGCTGCAGAATCAACAGATCACTGAACACCGGCTCGAAAGCCAGCCAGCGGACGCCCACCGTCCCAGGCCCCAAACTTGTAGTCCCAACGCGATGGTTCTGGCCCGAAAACTGCAACATCACCCCCTTTGCCGCTAATCCTTGAGCCCGAGAATCCTTGCTCCTGTTTGCAGGCAAGTAATCGCAGCACTGGCCCTCACTTCACCCTCCCAGCGCCCCCCCTGGTGCCAGAACCCTTCGTCGTGACCTCTCCGGTGGCTGGCCTGTCACGCTTCGTCCTCGCTTGCCGGAATTTCCGCATCCCATAATCTGCATCACATTAGAACGGCCTCGAAGTTTTAGGGGTGTTGCAGAACTGTGGGGCTTGAGGAGGTTGCAGCGCTTCGAGATCGGGACGTTTAGCGGGGCTGTGCAGCGCGCAATCAATTTTTGTGCCGTATTTGGTTCGGCGCATGCTCTACCTCCGGAAAATTCTAAGACCCCCAACTAGCAGGATTCCCTTATCATAAGGACCCAACATATGGGTTTACGAAAACAGGGGGCCCCTAGAGTAGACCCCCAAAGAGTAGGATTCCCTCAGAATGTGGTACCCCTAATATCGTAAACCCCCATATGTGTCGAAGCAGGAGCTACTGTGTTTCTACAGGGTTTAGGGTTTAGGGTTTAGGGGTTTAGGGTTTAGGGTTTAGGGTTCAGGGTTTAGGGTTTAGGGTTAGCCTCCATGGCGGCCCAAGTTTCCTGAAAGCACCTTGGCAAAACACTCAACAGAGCCGGTTCCCTTCAAGCGCCAGGAGTCGGAGGAAGAACCACCGGAGGGTGAGGCCCCGGGAGTTCAGTTAAAGCCTTGAGGTCTAAGACATTCTACAGCGCTAGTCAGCGCCAAACTCCAGCCACCCAATTGAGAAAGAATAATGGGTACCTCAACCTGCGCGCTAGATCCAGTTGTCATGTTGCCTCCACATGTGTACGCGATGTATACGGGGGTTTACGATATTCGGGGTACCATATTTTGGGTCCTTGTTAAACGGGGATCCTAGTATTTGGGGGTCTATGTTACGGGTCCCCGATTGTCGTAAACCACCATACCTAAACCCTAAACCCTAAACCCTGAAACCCCAAAACCCTAAGACCGGCGCCCTAAATCCTAAACCGTAAACCCTAAACCCTAAACCATTGAGGTCTTTAGGACCAGGGCTTTGGTGTCGATGAGTCCAAGAAAAGGTGCCGGCACTGTACGACTCGGCAGTCGACGCAAGTGCGTGGCCCGAACCTAATGGGGCGTTTCCTTAAAGAAGGGTTTAGGGTTTAGGGTTTAGGGTTTAGGGTTTAGGGTTTAGGGTTTAGGGTTTAGGGTTTAGGGTTTAGGGTTTAGGGCTTACCCCAAATATCGACCCCCACATAGTGAGATTCCGTTGTGAGAAGGACCCCAAAAAGGTACCCCAATGTTCGTAAACCCCCAATGATCAGATCCTCTGAGTCTTGCTTTCCTTGTTCTCGTTGTTCAGGGGTCGGGGCCTGCCGGGTCCAGGAATCTATCTCCCTAAACCCTAAACCCTAAACCCTAAACCCTAAACCCTAAACCCTAAACCCTAAACCCTAAACCCTAAACCCTAAACCCTAAACCCTAAACCCTAGACCCTAGACCCTAGACCCTAGACCCTAGACCCAAACTGTAACACTGCTTCGATGGTCCTCAGGATCGTCGGGCGGAAGCCGGGCGACCTTCCCACCTTAGGGTTTAGGGTTTAGGGTTTAGGGTTTAGGGTTTAGGGTTTAGGGTTTAGGGTCTCGACAAACAACCGCAAGTCTTGTGCTGTCAAGCCTCCTAGCCTATTGCCTCTCAAATCCTCTCCAGTCCTCTTTGCAAACCGAAGGCCTGTAGCCTATTGCAGCTCCGGTGAGTACTTAAGGGCACACCGTTGGCTTCCTGATGCGGGATTGGCTTCTTGGGTTTGCATGCTGGGGCTGCAGATGTTCCCCCAAACCACTCAAACCCAACCTCGTCCACCGCAGGCCGCAACTCCGCAATTTTTTCATGCCAGAGTAGAAGTTATGCCCACCGGTCGCTGCTTCCGGAAGCCTTAACCAAAAAACCACGAAGCCCCGGAAGCACCAAATACGTCCACCAGAGACGTCAGCATCGAGGTCGGTTTCCGCCCCGGTGCCCACACCCACTGACCTGCCAGCAGCAGCCTCAGGACATTCCCTTAACCCTAAACCCTAAACCCTAAACCCTAAACCTAAACCCATTGTTAGGAGCTTCATAACTTATGCTTGAGAGAGGTCCTAGCTGCTGTCCCAGCTTTCTTGTTGGGAAGTTAGCCACTCAGTACCTGCAGTTCTCATCCATAGTTATGATTCAGCGAACGGAAGTGCAGGGTCAAACTGAAGCTTCTTCTTACCCTGGACCTCCAAGAAGGCCTTTGGGGGTCTGGGATGTGTACAGATCTACGCTCACCGGCGGCGTGCTGCGCGCCTCTCATCTCAACAACGGGAGTGACATCAAGAGACCTCTCAGAGTTCAGCCGAAAGAGGCCAAGCCTTGCAGATCAAATGCCAAATGCCCTTAAGCTGCGGCCCGACACAGCGCTCCTAAGGCGAGGCCCGTGCCCACCGAAGTACCCTCACCGACGTCGCTGGGGGCGGCGCAGGAGGCTGCGGTGTTGAGGATGATGGGCTTTTGAGGATTTGGGTCTGGGAAGCCAGATTTTCTGTCTGCTTCTTTCCTTTCCATGCTTCCTCTGCTTATGAAACGTGACTGTGGCATAGGGCTTGGGTGTCGATGGAAACACCAGCAGACATAGCACAGGCAGGCTGAGCTTGTGAGCCGTCAATCACTTGCGAGTGTTCTAGGGGGACAGTGCCAACATTGGCGCAGATGCTGAGTGTGAAGGACCTCCAGAGGTTTGTTGGGCGATATTCAGCAGCCAGTTAGAAGTGAGCACGCCCGTTGCGAGTGTATAGCTGAAGCCCTGCACATAAAGCTTCCCAACGTCACCCCTAGCTGTCACCAGAACCTGCAACTGCTAAAGCCCGTGCCGCCGTCGTGAGGCAGAGACCATGGTAGAGGACATCATGACATTGTCTCAGCCTCAGACACCAGAGCCTACCCACCATCCCGGCCCATGGCCACGGCTTGTTCTTGTTGAAGCACTGTGGTGGGCTTTTGCGGTTTTTGGTTAAGGGCAAGCCCTGAAGTCCTATGCTTTTGGCATAGCCTCCGACCCTGAAACCTCCATTCCCTTAAGCACTTGCGCCCGGCGCCTTAAGCTGCCAAAAGGCACCCGGTTTAGGGTTTAGGGTTTAGGGTTTAGGGTTTAGGGTTTAGGGTTTAGGGTTCAGGGTTTAGGGTTTAGGGTTTAGGGTTTAGGGTTTAGGGTTTAGGGCTACGGCCCTTGAGTCCTCAAATCCGTGCATAGCTTGGAGGCAGCTAGGGTGCAGATAGTTTCCTGTCCCTTTCGCTAGCGCGGTGTAATCGCAGAGGAAAAAAGAGGACCATATCTTAGAGCCCCCCAGTTCCAGGCCCACGCACACCCTGGTCGAGCCGAAGGCTGGTTCTCGGGGGCCACTGGTCGGATCTAAGAAGGGCCCTGCAGATTCAGTTTAGTTTGGCTTCGAGATCTGGGCGGCTCCAGTTGGCCAAGAAGGGCCTTCGCATGTCCTTCTCAGAGGCAATATGAAGCCTTGGGGTCTTATTCGGGCCGAAGTGCTCGAAATCCCCACCGCCAAGAAGGCTTAGGAACATAGAGCCTTGACCCCGAAAGCCCTTCAGGACAAAAGGAAGCTGCAATGACAGGGTACTTCTGCATGCAGGCCTATTCTTCGATGGTGGGCATGTCCTCCTCAGCACAGGTCTTGGCAGCTAGGGTTTAGGGCTAGGGTTTAGGGTTTAGGGTTTAGGGTTTAGGGTTTAGGGTTTAGGGTTTAGGGTTTAGGGTTTAGGGTTTAGGGTTTAGGGTTTAGGGTTTAGGGTTTAGGGTTTAGGGTTTAGGGTTTAGGGTTTAGGGTTTAGGGTTTAGGGTTTAGGGTTTAGGGTTTAGGGTTTAGGGTTTAGGGTTTAGGGTTTAGGGTTTAGGGTTTAGGGTTTAGGGTTTAGGGTTTAGGGTTTAGGGTTTAGGGTTTAGGGTTTGAATGGTTGGTCCTGGGCTTCTTTTCAAGGCAGTCATCGTTAGCTGCTAGCCCTGCAGTTTGAGAGGAATGGCCCAGTCTCGCTCAGTCTTACCAGACACATGTTTTACTGATGCGCAATTGACCCACAAAGCGGCGTGCCCACGCAAGACAGGCTTTGAACGCAGACGAAGCATTTTAAGTCTCCGAACTTGAAACAGAAGCATTCCAGCAGCTCTTGCTTCACAACGTCCCAGAGTCAGGAGACCTTTGAACAAGCCTTCGCTGAATACAAGTCAAGCCTCCGCCCTCGACTTGAGCCCCTGCACCCTGCACCTCACTCAGCCTAGGCCGCCACGCAGTCACCCAGCGAGCTGCCAGTGCCCACGGAGCGCCCATCGCCCACGGAGCTCTCGGTGGGGGACATGGGACAGTTGGTGCAGAGTGTCAAGTAGGATTCAGGGTTGGAGACACAGAATCGCTTTGCAAGATGGATCCGCTTTGGCGTTAGGCCTGGGCAAACTTTTACGAACCCTGGGGTCGTGCGCGTCAAGGGCAAGCACGCGCAAAGAACTGTGCCATTGCCAAATCAGTTGCCAGGTGCAGGGTTGACCCAAGTAGGGTAATAGAGGGGTCGAAAGAATTACTAATCGTATTCTCTTATGGTTCCTATATGCATACATAAATAGCCGCCAAAACCCTACTAAATTGATGAAGGCCCCTATATTATGTAGGGCCAATGTGGGGGTAGGATTCCGGGTTCCTTGGCTTGGGACAACAAGCTGTTTTGTTTGAGTGGGAGGAGCCAGGAGCCTTGCCAGTAAGGAATGCAAACAAGACCAGCAGCAAGAATTCTAAAAAAATTCGGTTTTCGGGGGTCTTAAACCTGAATGCCTGCAAGCCTGGTTAAAGTTTGCGGGCTTTCTGGAGCCCACGTTGCGGGTCGCCCCACCACCTTCCAGGCGAGGCGCCCGACACCCAAACCCCCGGCGGTTGCCTGGACCTCGGAGCATTTGCAAGGTAAACATATTTGTGAAGTACCCATGTTTTCTTGATTGTTTGGTGAAACTGATGGTTGGTTCTGCTGGTTTAGAGTCCCAGGGGCCCCCAGGAAACGTGTGGAATCGGCATCCCACATAGGCGGTCGAGGCCATGAGTCCGATGGAGTTTGGGTGTAGGGTTTCGGGGGATTAGGGTTTGGGGTAGTTCTGTGTAGTGTAGTTGCTACGAGTACCATGAATGAGCCTCAAGAGACCCTTCCATTTTTGCCAGCCCTTAAGCCCACACCCTAGCTCCACAACCCTAGACATCTCCCATGGCAAGCACATGAGCTGGTCGAAGCCGCACACAGGAGCCCATTTAGCAACATGTCGGCGCACCTGCATCATGCGAGTTTCGGCCGTTTATCGTGAGCCTTAACCTGAGAATGCAGAGACGCTCGTCTCTTGGTGCTCTGAACAGGCTGTGGAGTCCGGAATGCTCGGCTCCTCCGCAGCTTGCTGAGACTTGGGGCTCATCCAGCATTCGTTCTGCCATGCCTCTTGGGATGTTCCCCCTTATACTAACGGTTCTTAGTAGGGATGATAAAGGTACCTCTGAGAGAAGTTCCACAAGCAGAGTGGGAAGCTCACACTGGTAGACTCTCAGGCCTTTCAGCTTCACAGCTTTCTGCCTACACCGAGCCTCATCGACTGTAACCCTGAGCCGAAATCCAGCCGAACACCCGCGCAGCGAGGAGACAGACGGGTTCGGAGGGTTGGAGAAGAAGAAGCGGAAACAGAACCCACCCGTCGTTTTTTCCAACTTCACTTGCCCCAAGGCCCTGAACACCTCGGCTCCGGCATCAGGCCTGTGCTCGGAGTTTAAGTGCGTGCGGCTTGGGGCTTCGGAAGGCTTTGCGGGTTTAGCGGTTTCAGCCTCTTCGGTTGCAGAGATCAAGATTCAGGGGCGCCCCGGCCAAGGGTGAGTGTCTTGTTTCGGCAACCACTTGAGAAGCGCCGGCCAGTGCTGGCCCCTGTTAAAAGCCCCGTAAGCTTGTGGCCTCAAACACCAGCACAGCCCCCCTTGCCACTTGAGCGCCACATTAGTGACATCGAGCTCCAACTCCCATCTCAAGTGCATCCACACACCGACACTAGAGTGCGAGTTACGGCTGTTGCTCCAGCCCGAAGATGCAACCGCCAGAAGCCGTCTTAAAAGCCTCTAGCACTCCATCAAGCTCAGCCAACCCCTGTCTCCGTTTCTCGCGGGCCATCCCGCGTGCCCAAGGCCCCAAGCACTGAATCCTGCCCCCTTACCGCAAGAAAGCAGCGCCCTAAAGCAGCAAGAAGGTCAGCAACGCTCCCCGACGGAGATGCCCGTGCCAACAGCCGTGCCCTCACCGACCATGCCCTGCGAGGATGAAGGCGGGCAGCCTTGGTTTCGGAATGCCGGGTTCCTCCCTGCTTCAGCTGGCGCTTTGGTTCCAACATGTCATAGCAAAATGTGCGTGCTTGAGAGGCATTGCTGGAAACTGCAGGCACCTGTTGAGGGCCCCTGCACCCAAGTCGCAAGAGCTTGAAGCCAGACACAAGCGCCTATGAAGCTCAGCGAGGCAAAGCTGACATGTCCTAAATCCTCATGCGCCCGAGCAGCACCAACAGCAGGTGAGACGGTGACGGCGCCCCCAGGTGCCATCGTTGCGACCTCAGACGCCGAGATTCTTTTTTTGGGATGTAGGATGCAGTGTAGGGTGTTTCAGGGTATATGGTGATGGTGATATTTCAGGGTGTCCTGAACACATGACTTTTCAGCGAAATAGCTCGCGCATCCAAGAGCTTTGGGCTGGGGCTTTACAGGTTTCCGTGTTGCCACATCCCTGATCAAGCCTCATACAATAGCATCCAGGCGAAAACGAGCAGCATCGAGAAGACCCTGACGCATTCCCGGCCCGCCACGTCAGTGGTCCAGCACGGGGCTCAGGCGTTCACCGGCCTGCAGGCCCAAGAGCCCGAACACATCCCGAGACCCCGGACCCGACAGCGCAAAGGGGAATGACGTGTTGCGAGGTCCTGCGGTTTTGGGCAAGCTTGGTCGTCCGATGCTCTCAAGGTTTTTTTTTGTTCGAGCTGGAACTCAGACCCCTCCATGTTTCAGAAGCCCTGCTTTTCCCACGCCCCTGCCCTTCAGGCTGTAGGGCTTTCGTATGTAGAAATGGTTTGCTGGGCGAATGGCTCTTGGTTCCAGTTGTAGGACCAAGGGCTCACCGCCTCTGTGGGCCCATCGAGTTTCAGCCTGGCCGGTCTCCAATCCAGAGTTGTCAAACCCCAAACCCTGCAAGCCTGGCAACTCACGCGTTGAACTCCCGACTGGGACCGGAAAAGCCGAAACCCTGCAAACCTCCGATTGGCAACGAAACGCAACCCAAGACGGAAACATATGTGGGTGGGCTCAACAGACCCTTCCAAAGCCCAAGGTGCAACCTCGTGTTGTAGAGAGGCTGACAAACAGGAGAGCTGTCAAGACACCTCCCTCCTTCCCCTGCTCCTCGAAAAACAAGCAACACGCACACACGCTCGCACATAAGCCCCAAACTTCAGCTCAATCAGGTCTTCGCCTGTAGACTTGCCTGTGCCGACCGCCAGGAGAGTGGGCATGCCATGGCACACCGATATCTAGGAAGGAAGAATTCCGGCGGTTTGGTGTAAAATGTGGTCGGTTGCTGCCAACTGCAGAAGTCAATCTTTGCCCCCCAAAGCCTTGCCTTACGCGTTGCTTTGGTCAATGGTGGTTGTAAGCTCATCACGCTTTCGGGGCGAACGGCTTCAGGGTTGATCAGCGTCGTCATCGCGATGCTGCGTGGGGTCACATAGCTAATGTAGGGGTCGTAAGAATTACTAATAGTCAGTATTCCCTTATGGCTCCTTTATAAATATACTACGATGCTGAAGGCCTGAACCTCCCAGACCTCCAAGTCGGGAAGCACATCTCATCCCAAATCCTGAAGCCAAAGCCTTGAGCCCTACACCCAGCCTTCAACCAGCCCTCCCTTCAGCCGTACTTCAACCCGCAGGCCGTCTCCGACCTCCATGAATGAGGGTGAGGATGAGGAGGAGGTCGGTCCGCGCCAGGGTTCTCACTCTGCCATGCCAAGCATTGCAATTGCAATCTCCCCCCCGGATCCGTCATCCGGGGGTGAGGGCCCCTCGGCCACGAGCAGCAACTCCTTGCGAACTCGCTGTGGTGAACTTTAATCCGCATCCAGACTGTTTCTTCTTTCTTGAGGAGCTTAACGCCCTCCTGTCAAATCCCACCCCTTCCAAGCCCCTCCCGGCCCGGCGTATCTCGCCCCCCAAGAAGAGCTGAAGCCCTCGGCCTTGAGCAGGCCATCGTTGGGCCGCTGCCGGATGCAGCCATGAAGCCGCCAGGACCACGGGGGGAAGTTGGGGATTGGCTTGGGGGCTAGGTTTGGGTTCTGGTTCAGGTTTGGGTTTTCAGACTCAACGAGTCGGGATCCTGGTTGAGGGGGTGTAGACCCCCAGTTTTGCTTTGGGTTTGGAGGTTTTGGGGGCTTGAGTGCTTGGGAGTCTGACGCTTGGTGGTTACAGCTTGCGGGCCAAGGATTCCAAAGGTATGCTTTTGACAAGTTAAGTTACCCAAGGCCCTGCGTACTGCAAGTTCGATTGGCTTTCCCAAGCCCGCACCTCGAGGCATGATTCGTGCAACCTTCATCATGGTGGTGCTGTTAGGTAGGACATTGCGAGGCACACCCAGGCTTGTCTCAAAGCAAACTCCTCGAAACATGCACCGCGCGCCAGAACCCCACACCTTTGGCATCGCGCGCCTGCCACGGCTTCCTTGCAGGATTTTGAGCAACTTGTGAACTGGATCTACAGCTACCCAAGCTAACTACCCGAAACCCGAAACCCGAAACCCGAAACCCTAAACCCTAAACCCTAAACCCTAAACCCTAAACCCTAAACCCTAAACCCCTAAATCTGCAGCGTTTGATGGAAGAGGGTCTTGTAGAGCTTTGTTTGAAGTTCTTGTCGAAGGCAGGAGGTTAAACCAAGACTGGGTCTACCAAGCCTTTGAAGCCAGGACCCAGAACGCTGAGCCCGTGCAAGCAACACATCCCATCGTCCCCGCCCTACACCCAAACCTGCGCGAGGTGGATGAAAGGATGGCCTAAAAGTCCAATATGTGTAATTGTCCGCTTTCAATGCGTTTCGGGTCTGTTTTGCGTCCATCCCATTTTACCCTAAACCCTAAACCCCAGACCCTAAACCCTAAACCCTAAACCCTAAACCCTAAACCCTAAACCCTAAACCCCAGACCCTAAACGCTAAACCCTAAACCCTAAACCCTAAACCCTAAACCCTAAACCCTAAACCCTAAACCCAGTACTTGCGAAGCCACAGAGTCGGCTTGAAAAGGGTTCGAGACAGCCAGACCCCAGATGGACTCCAAACGGATCCCCCGCAGTTCCAAATGGATTCCCAAACAGATTCCCAAGCAGACCGAACGAGTCTCGGAGGTCACAGAAGCATGGTATAGGGTTTAGGGTTTAGGGTTTAGGGTTTAGGGTTTTAGGGTTTAGGGGTTTGGGGGTTTAGGGTTTTAGGGTTCTAATGAAGAGCTTTTGGGCTGGGGATGAGAAGCTCCTCTGTTAGCTTGCGTTTTGTGGTGGAAGCGAGACCGCCAGAGCTTTGGCGTGTTTCAGCAGGGCTCTTTAGGGGGGTTTAGGGTTTAGGGTTTAGGGTTTAGGGGTCTTGGCTGATCTGGCTGTTCTGGAACCAACCGCCAAGAACATGTCGAAGAAAGCTGAGCCTTCGGCATCCGAAATGCGGGAAGCCACAAAGGGAAACCAGAAGTAGCAGTCTGAGATGGACAAGCGCTGCGCACGTGTGCGCCAGGCAATGGGAGCAGGCGATGCTGAGGCTGGGCCCAGACATCTACAGCCTTATGGGGTCATGGTATAAGTATAATTACGAAGGGACCACAAGGGAATATTTTCAGTACCTCTTCATCCGATGACTGTTCGGGGTAAGCCCCCCACTTCGAGTTCCAAGTGTCCGGCGTGTTCGATGCGCTTTCGAGGAGCAACTTTGGGTTCATGGGATGCCCGTTTGCAGGGCGAATCTAGGCTCAAACGAAGCGTTGCTAGAAGGAGGGTTTGGTGATGTCTGAGGTGTGTATTCAGGGATTGAGGGTTTCGGGCTTTCGAGATTAAAAGATGGGATCCTGGTTTGGGGTTCAGGCTTTAGCTGTACTTAGGGCGCAGGGTATAGGATCCCGTGGCAGCGGTGTTTGGGTACCAGAGCTTGATGGTCCACGCATCTCCCGACACTCCAAGCTCTTGAGCTCTTACACCACTTGCTTCAGCCCTACACGGGGCTCCTTGCAAGCCAGGCGACATAAGACAAAAGAAGGCACATCTTGGCCCTGGGGTCACTTTACATCGATGAGTGAAGCTTTTGAGCAGTTTTGGTCCCCTCTAATGTTGCTGGGACGGCGCGCGCAAGGGATTTTAGGTGGTGCTTCCTGGAAGACTCTTTAGGCATTCGCCGATCCGGGGTGCAGGTGCCGGCACCGCATGAGTCCGCGCTGGCAGACAGTGCCTGGCACATGCCTGAGTTTGTGGATCTTTTGAAGCAACCCCCTGTGCCCAGCTCCCACACACAACAGGGCTTAGTGGTTCTTGGCATACATCTTGGGGTGCCGGGGCTTTGGCCTTGAAAAGGACTCGAAGTCTTGCAGGTGGGGGAGGTGAACGCACTGGTGCGCGGGTCATCTTGTCCTTGCGGCGATGTTGTGTCAAGCGATGGACGGCGGAACGCTTCCCGAGTGGCAGAGGGCACTTCACCGTGTTGAACGTCCTCCCAAAACCCTACCCAGTGAGTTCTCTTCCTGGGATGGGTTGCAGTATGTCGGGGTTTTCAGGGTTTGCTGATTTCAGTGTGTTTTTCGGAGAAAGTCTTTTGGGAACATTTTTCAGGTTCAGCATGCAGGGTATGGATAAATATGAAGAGCATGAGACTGGTCTAGGATTCAGGAGACGAATGACATGCTGCCACAGCACGAATCGAACCTTGAGGTCAGAGTCCGCGCCTGAACGAACACCGACGGAGCTGCCCGAGGTGCACGGGCGGTGGGTCCCAAGCAGTCGAAGCACTCTGCACAAGGGCCCATTGCTTGGGAGTCGCTTGGTTCTCTTCCATCGAGTTGCCTCCTCGCAGGACATGCCTGTGCCAACCGACGTGCCTTCGCCAACCTCCTTGCGTTCGGAGGACGAGGCGTGTTTTTTGGGCTCGGGCGATGTGGTTGATGTCTCTTCTACCCTTATGGATCTCAAAGGCTGGTTGGGGTCAGAGCCGATAGGAGGCTGTTCAACATCGTCAAGGTCAAGGTTGTTTTTTGGGTGGGGGGGGGCTTAGCAGGGCTTTTAGCCCTGCATATCTCTGCATTGGGCTTGCTCGCGCGCCTATAAGCCCGCACTCCGTACACTCAGGGTGCCATGAGTCCTCAAATACTGCCGCTCCACGCCCCGATCCCTCAACCCGAAGAGAGAGAACAAACAAAAGCAGTGAGAGGCAGCACATCACTGAGCCAGTCCCCGAGCAAACCCCCCTCCTCCCACCGCCCCCAGCAGGCGGACACCATCCTCGAGCAGGTTGGGACTTTGCAGAGGCCTCAGGCGCTGAAACCTATCTTCAGCTCCCAGGCTTCCGATTCCAGACCAAAAGGCCTTGGGATCAGCCGCAGCCGATTGCACAAAAACCTCGCGGCCCCACAAGAGCTTGAGCAGTTTCTCGAAATGAGCAGAGGCCAAAAAGGAATAGAAACTCCTCGCCCAAGTCTGTTGGGGCTGAACTCAGCTTGGGGCCTTGACAGCCCCAACCCTAAGTGCCTGTAACCACAAACACCTCCCCCAAGTAGTCGGCATGCTGAGGCCTACGCAGACACTGGTGCCCCCCCCATTTGAGGCGCCCGGACGGGCTGGGAGGTGCAGGCGCTACCGTACCCTGGGCTTACGAGTGGACCTCCTCAAGTCTGGCCCAGCAGAAGCTTGCAAGTGGTAGATGGCAGGGACGCAGAGCATGCCACTTTGCGAAGTCTTTCCCCAGAATTCAAGACCATGTGCACAGGCCCGTGCTGCGGAGGATGAGGCTGCCGAGACGAATGCGAGTAGCCCAGCCTTTGTCGCGGTGACGCGTCTTTTCGGGTTTTCAAGTTTCAGGGTTTAGGGTCATCGACACCAGAAAGGTGACTGAGAGCTTACTACTGGTAGGGTTCGATTGTTCATGACTTGGAGCTTCAGACGCTCAGCCTTCGATGGGTTGTCTAAGCCGGACTATGATCTCTAAATCTCAAACCGAAATACTTGTGGCAACCACATCTTCTACACCTGTTAGACAGAACTAGCTGCAAGGAAGCCGCACTTTTCCACAGGTGACTTAGGCCATGTTTTTTGCAATTGCCACGCCGTGGGTTCAACGTTGGGTTCGGGTGATCTTGCTCCGAAACAGGATTTGGGCCCGAGGTTCCCGGCGTGCCACAAGCTTCGGCAGCGGCCGGATCGAGCGTCTTCATGCAGCGGCCTCAACATCGCGCCCAACGTCGCTGGGGGAGATGGCTAGATAGACAGGGGCATTCATTGAAGTCTTTGGGTGCTCGGGGGTGCAATCGCTTGTTGTCAGTACATCTTTGATTCAGCTCTACCCCAATGCTAACGCGCACGTATGAAAACTTACGCGTTTAGGCTTCAGGTCATTGGGGCGGAAGAATCTTCAGGCTTCAAGCATCTTCGAATGCGGCTTCGGAGTTGCTGGTTTAGCTCAAAGAAGCTGTAGCTTGGGGGTTTAGTGTTTCAGGGGCGGCTTAGGACTTCGAGAGCTTCAAAGCGGCCGTAGGAGGGTGTAGTGGCTGCTGGGTCCGCAGAATGTGCAACACAGGGTAACAGGGTGACTCTGCAGATGCTGGTTTAGGGTTTAGGGTTTAGGCTAATTAGGGTTTAGGTTTTAGGGTTTAGGGTTTGGGGTTTAGGGTTTAGGGTTTAGCCTTGTAGCAACCAGGGGTACTGGTTTAGGACAGTATAGGCCTGGCCTTAATTTAAGGGGTTGAAGACCCTACGCTTGTCACACCCTGAGCCTCGAAATTAAATTGCCCAGTTGGCTCATAAGAACAACCTGAAGCCCTCAACGATGACACCTAAGCAGCCGCAATGACAGTCCTTGCAATTCAGGTCGGATTCTATGCTGGCAGGAAGCCTCAGCAATGAGCGTGCCGTGTTTCGAGTCAGGCGTTTTTTCTTTATGCTAAGCTGTCCAGCCGATTGCAGCTCCTTCCCTTCCCCCTTCATCATCTCATTTCCTACAAGTCTGTGGTTCTTGTCATGGTAAGACTTAGAAACACATAGCGCCCAAAAGACAAAAACGACAAAACAACAATAGGCAGTGGAAGAAAAATGAGAAGAGAAGAAAGCAAAACAGCAAGAACAAGAACAACACAGCTTCAGGAAGGAGTCTTGGGTGAACCCAACCAGACAAAACCAAAACCAAGAGCACCGAAACCGCTGAGTTCCCCTTGTACACCGAGAGAAGAGTTCGGAGAGTTGAAGAAGAAGCGGCAACGGAACCACGCGTCGTTCTCCAACTCCACTTCCAAAGGCCGTGGACACCTCGGCTCCAGGCCTGCATTCGAAATTTACGGGCATGCGGCTTGGGGCTTCTGGAGGCTTTTGGGGTTTTAGCGGTTTCAGCCTCTTCGGTTGCAGAGATCAAGATTCAGGGGCGCCCCAGTTGGCTTCATGGGCAGCTTGCAAACCTTGAGCTCGAAGACCGGGATGCTCTCGGCCACGGGTGCGAGTGTCTTCTTTCGGCAACTTGAGAAGCGCTGGCTAGTGCTGGCCCCTGTTAAAAAGCACGTAAGCTTGCGCACGGCGCCACTCTTTACAGTGGCCTCAAACACCCACAGGCGCCCTGAACTTGAGAGCTCCACATTGTGACATCAAGCTCCAACTCCAGTCTCAAGTGCAGCCACGCACCGACATAGAGTGCGAGTTACGGTCTGTTGCCCCAACCCACTGATCACTGATGCAACCGCAGGCACGCGCACTGAATCTTGGCCCCTTACCGCAAAAACAGCAGCGCCATAAAGTGGCATGAAGGTCAGCAGCGCTCCCCGACGGAGATGCCCGTGCCAACAGCTGTGCCGTCACCGACCACGCCCTGCATGGATGAACGCGGGCAGCCTCAGAGGGACTCCTTTCTTTCGGGGTCATGCATTCCTTAGGAATGGTCCTTGGCGGCATGTTTTGGAGTATTAAGAACTCCAGATGTGTGAAAGCGACAATCAGTACACGATGGCATCTCAGGATCATCTTGAGATGCCTCTCAAGGTTGTTGGGAGCTGAAGTCTAGTAAGGAGATGTAAGCACTAGCACCCTGCGGTTTTCTGGCGATCACTTGCACTAAGCTGCGGTATTCAGGATCAGGGCACGAAACAAAACCAGTCTCGATTCCGTCTTTAGGGCTGTGGTTTGGATGCGCGGCTCTTTCGCACCTAAGCACGAAATCAGAGTAAGTGTTCTAGTTTTTCTGCAACAAGAATTCGCACAGTGCGAGAATATTTTCCGTGCTCTGATCTTCCAGAGTCTGAAGCCTTAACCCTCAAAGCCGCTAGCAGAAGCGTTTAAGCAGCGCCACAAGCAGGTGAGACTGTGACGGCTCTCCCGCTTGCCACGGTTGCAACCTCAGACGCTTGGGGATGTAGGATACAGTGTGGGGTGTTTACGAAAATAGGGGACCCCCTAAAATACACCTCCAAATAGGAGGATTCCCTCATTACGAAGACCCCAATGAGGTACCCCATTTGTCGAAGAATTGACTGTGAAGCACCCTAAACCCTAAGCCCTAAGCCCTAAGCCCCAAACCCTAAACCCGAAACCCCAAACCCTAAACCCCAAACCCCAAACCCTAAACCCTAAACCCCAAACCCTATACGGGGGGCAACCGAAGGAGGACAGGGAACAAAACAGTCAACCCCAACAGAAGCCCTTGATCCCCTGGACCAAGCAACAACAAACCAACCCAAAACACCAAGCACCCTTCTTTCACTAGGCGCATGGCCCGATCTTGAGCCAAAAATAGTACCGGGTACATTGACCCTTAATCCTTCTACACCAACTCTTTTCTTTAATACAAACTGCAGCTCCGCACTCCCCCTGTCCTAGGATTCCCTAGGACACAAACTGGAGGTGCAGACTTTTGGCCAAAAACTGCCATTAAGGCAGCAGCCAGCTGCTTGGAATGCAAGTTGTGGTTTTACGTCATCCAGGACGAATTTATAGCACATTGGCTAAACACCCTTCACCCTAGAGAATCTTTTTACCACCATGATTCTCTTGTCATTGAAGACTCTCAGCCTTCTTCACCACGAACCGTGGTCTTCGCTACGCAAAAAGCTGTACACTCTCTACTATCAGGGATTTCCATACCCTTAATAGTAACCACCACACTTCCAGCACATTGGCCGTTCCAGCGCACTTGTCTCCAGAAAGAGAAAAACCCATTCCCTCATCAATACCATCCAGTCATCCCTTCTTTTTCTTCCGATGGGCATCGATGCTCAGGTGAAGTCGCAGCAAAACATGTTCCAGGTCCGACACTGTAAGAACAGGATCTTGTATACCCCTCTGAATTGAGGATATCAACCCCTCTCTCTTCGCGTCCTCAATTGCTTGGCAGGATTGTCCCAGTTCGGCATTAACAGTGGTAGATGACTGCGCATCCACTTCAGAAGGACGGTCCTTCTCATCAGGACCTTCCACCACGACCACCTCTTCTTTCTTGGGGCTTTGACTTTTCTCTTTCTTTTTCATCTTTCCCGAGACGCTTGCCTTGGTGCGCATTCTCGAAGAGGCCTTTTCCCCTCCTGATACCACCGCATTGGATGATGATCCACCCTTCTCCATATTAACCGGCATCTTCTTCGGCTTTGGAACCAGAAGAGTGTATGGATCCTCAATTGCAGCAGTTTTCCTCTTCTTTTTGGCCATCTTCACCTCTTCCTCAACGGCAACATCCGTCTCCGAAGTTCCAACCACCTCCTTTTTGGCAGGATTATCCTTACTGGACTCCCTTTCTAGGGACCTCTTTTTGTCCCTTTTTGGATCTCTCTCCTCTTTCATATTGGCTCGCTGGAACCATATCCTCAACTCATCGATCCACTCTTCAACCTCCACCAGTGGAATCTCATATGACTTCACTATCTCGTGAAGTTCCAATGAAGACAGCATGCCAGTAGTCCACGTACACCATTCTGCGTCTCTTTGGTCAGCGTCTCCATTGAACTTTAACAGTTTAAACACCGGATCCGCTTCCGCGCGGGCCAAATCTGATTTGCCATCCGACATGTAAGAAATTGCCTCCATCAGCAATTCTATCATCCGGGTATCGTCGTCGTACCCCATCAAATCCTCTTCATCTTGTTCCTTCCCTCCACTTCTTGTACCGGTACTCCTCCGCGGACCATCCCTTGGGGGCGTCCTTGGAGACCTTGGCCTCTGTTCATCCAGCGGATCACCATGTTCAAAGACACACCTGTCCCCATGACGGCATTTCCCAGACCGAGCAAACTGGATACACCTTACACCAGTTGCGTCGTGAGAGAACTTGCAGTCCTCTCCAGCGTAGCAGTGTCTTCCAGCCACATAGTATTTGCACCAATACGATTGCAGCACCACATCATCATTGGAATGAATAAACTTGCAGTCCTCTCCAAATTTGCAGCGATTGTTCCCTTTTGCGAACCAGTAACAGATACCTTGCCTCCTTTTCGACAAGCGTTCCGCTTCCAGACGATCCATGGAACAATTCCGCACTACATGGACATTGCCATGATCTGTAGGACTACCTTTTTCACCCAAGGTGCTATCAATGTTTGATGCATCAAGAACAGCTGGAAAACCTGGTCTTGGTCCTATCACCTTCATGATTGGTTTCCCACCAGCTCCTGAGCCATTCTGAGATGATCCAAAAACATTGAACACTTTCAAGAAGGCCTTTCTAGTGCCGATCTTCCGCACCTTTTTGATTGGACGTTTCATTGCTCCAACCTTGGATCCAGGTAGATCTGAACGACACAACCTCCTATACCCAGCTCTATATCCCTTTTTCCAAAGAGCCATAAGAATTCTAGAGGCAGTAACATTCTCCACCTCTACCCTTTCGGACTGTCCCTCACTTTCCGGAACAAACCCATTCAACCCATCCATATCTGAAGACCTTTCCATCTTTTTTGACATCACTTCGTCGAGATAATCTTCAGAGATCCAGGGTAAATTCCTCTTAGAGGAAAAATCGTCACCATTGTCCGGTCCTTCACCAGGATACCCCTTCGTGCTGTCAAAGATCCTACTCGTAGTGCGGTCCTGCATAGAGAAATCCCAGTTGGAAGCGACACGAGAATACACCGACCACAAGAACATTCTGGTGCCAGCCAATCTTGATGAACCACTGGATGTCTCATCTTCTGGAGAAACTTCTGGCGCTTTGCCATCACTTCCAGTGTCACCAATTGTCTCACTTCCAGCATCTTCGATGGGAATAGGGGATTCATTGATCCCTTGCTCAAATACCGCATCTTGCTGTTCGGGGATCTCCAGCACCATCCCTGAAGGATCCACTTCCTCATCAGCATCGTCGTCCATTCTTTTCCAGAGAACCTCCAATTGATCAGCACACGTCGCCGCCTGAAGGAACTCCATCATTTGGTCCCTCCCGCGCTGCCAGAGAAATTCTGAATTCACCACCAACCCTTGGCCTCCTAGGGTAAGGAACGGAGCAACCAGGTTGGCTTCCCTCGCCATAAGTTCCACATGAACTTCCATGCCTGGACTGCGACTCCAATCGTAGGCTATTGCCTCCATAGCAGTTCCAAACTTTTCAGTGTTTCTGAATTCCCTTTCCAGGCCAGGAGATAGCAATGCACCCATCACCGAAAGAGGATGGAACGAATGATGCAAATCTCCGTAATGTCCTTGATCTCTCCTTTCAAAAAGGAGTCTCCCAGTGTTCAACTGGGCATTCAGTTCATCCACTTGAACCATTTCAGCACATATCCTCTGCGCTGCAGTCGCTATTGCCGGCCAGATAGCACGATCGGCCAAACCGCGACGCGTAACCCAATCAGTTGTTGCCGACTGAATCAGTGTACGTGGGTCATATGCCATGACCACCAATGTACCATCATCCATTCTTTGATCAGCATCGTCTTCCAGTGCCAGGTTCAAATCCTGTTCGCTTGCACCTTCAGATGACATGCTAATAACCAAATTTCGATCCATTTTATTGGACCCCTTCTGATAGTCCTTTTGCCCCACAGGCAACTTGCCGACAGCAACCTTCTAATAAATCCGATTCAGAAGGCTTTTGGTAAGCAATTGCTGATGGCCCTTCTTCACCGGAAGAACATCCAATATTTTCGTATCATCGCCACGGAGTTCATTGCTCCCACCTTCACCTTCTTTTTGGTCAGTCTCCTCGCCAGGAATTTGTACTGCTCCTTCCAGCGCCGTCTCCTGTCCAGCCCCATCTTGCCCAGGTAGAACTTGAGCGCTTTCAGATACATTCACCTGTCCAGCAACACCTTGCCCAGGTAAAACCTCATCTGTGGAGCCCACCGCCAGCGAACCAACTATAACTGAGCCATCCCTTGCTCTTTTTTGGGACTGCTCAGTTGGACGAGAAGGTTGTGGTAGCGAAAAAACTTGAGAAGTCACTTCTTGGCGGGTCTCCCCCCGCGACGCTTTGTCGCGCTCTTCGCCAAGGTGAACCGATTTTTTCTGCCCATCATTGGAGCTTGAAGAACCAGTAAGTGGAACATTGCCACGTGTCGCAGTTCTTTTTGAATCCCTTTCTCGCAAAAAGATTTCCCGCAGGTGTCGTGCGTTGTTGGTTTCTTCCTCGCTTGAATCACCTGAGGAATCAGCATAGGAGACCAGAACCCCTGTCTGATCATCATCATCCATCAAATCTGCCCACGCTCGGCTGAATGGGTACGACAAACCACCACGAGGCTTTACTGGTTCCAGCGGCTTCGGCTTTTCCACCACTTCCGCCGGCTGCACACGCCGTTGTGAGCGAGAGCGTGGCACCAGTCGCACCTGTTTTTTATCCAGCAAGGGCCTTCCCCTTCTAACAGGGTTCGATCTTGACCTACCCGCCTTTGTTGGCGGGTT